GATCTGTGATAGTCAACGCTTCTTCGCTGGACTAAGTAGCATCACTGAGGGGAGCAGTTCAAGACAACTAAGATAAAAAAAAAAACATCAGGCTTGAGTCGAGTTTCACTTCTGGTGTGAAATGCAGCCCAAGCGACTCACCACACAACCATCACAGCAATGCTGACAATGTTATGCTGGCGGTTATCACTTCGTTGTCAACTCTTGTTCACGGTCCACTGCGAGCCTCGTTACGTCATCTGCCCCGCTCAAAAGCAAACATCTCAAACAGCTAGAATCTGGAGCATCTTCATTTTCTGTCCGTGACTTCACCTTCAAGTCCTCTGAGTGTTATTCTACCAACCAAACACAGGGCTCTACTGACCAGGGAAAACAGCATGTAAAATAAGGTGAATCGCTGAAAATGCATGATAATAATAGCAATGGGGTGATTGCGTCAGCTGTATTTTAAAACTGTGTTTAAAAAGAAATATCAAAGTATTTGCTGCGTGTTCACGTTTAGCATGAAGACTGAATCAAAGAAATGTTTCATAATCAACAAAGGGAATTTCCCAAACTGTGCCACTGGCGAAGCAATTTTTTTGCTAATTGTATCACTATCTTGTAAAAATGCCATACATTGACATAACTTTACAGAAAACAAAGCCTTCATGTTATCCAAACAATACATTCCACATGATCCTTCACTTTACTGACAAAGGTTTCAGCAGTTGCAACAATAAAGACACTTATGTTACATAAAATATCCCCATCAGGAGACAGGCCAAATGTCAGTGCATCACTATGCTGTTAGAAGCTGGATAAATGTGAATAATTCATTAGGTCAAGTAATGATTCACTAATTTAATGGAGCTGTGTCATTATTCTGTTCATCATTTTTAATCCAGATTAGTAAAAAAAGAAGCTCGTTAATGATCTGAACCTTGAAAACTCACTGTGAGGCTGATTGTTCTGGAAATCGTTGACTACTTCTTTGTAAAGACACTCTAAAGAGAAATATTCTGAATCTGGGTTTTATCACTAACTGAGCAAACATCCGGCTCGGCTTTCAATCTGCAGCCATTACGACCTGCAAAATGTACTAGACAGTAACGTTGGTTTGTAAAACTAACACAGCTAGTGATATAGTCCTTCGGTCTTTAATAAAAGGAGGTCCGTTTACACAAAACATCAGCACAGGTAAGAATCATAAGCCTTGGTTGTTCATCGATACGTTTTCAAACAGCAGACGGAATTACTTTACTAATACTTATTTGTCACAACTGTACGATGTCTTTTCAATCGCCAGATCATTATCCTTCCAGTTAATGGCCTGATCAGTTGATCACACATCCATCCAGGAAGCCCAGATACAAGGAGACACGAGATGGAGCAGCCAGGAAGCTCACAGGAACAGCAAATCAATCACATGGTCAAACCCATCCTACACATGTACAAACAACCCAACGAGGACTGGTTAGTCACATATTTTGTATTAAGTTCATTTTCACAGACATAACATGCTTGTTGTGGCAGACTTTAACCCTCTACACATGGCCCACTTAATGCCAACAAGTAACGGGTTGAAAATATAATTGTTCTAAATTTAGACTGGACGTGTAATGCTGAATCAGTAAGAAGTGTGTCAAAATGAAACCTTTTAAATCTTCAAGACAGCACAAGTGGTTGATACAATTAAATCCATCCACTGCTTGAGGTTTTCGAGACAGGTTGGGTTTCATGCCAACAATTGCCAGACATTTCCTCACAATCTACGTAAAGATGTTGTCCAAACAGATTGTCAAAGTGTGTCAGAACAGCCGTTTGTTGATCGACGGGCAGTTTATGCTGGAAGCAGGCCAATAATGACCAGTCTGCAAGCTGGCGGGGGGAGCCTGTCTGGAAGGTCAACCTCTGTGGTACTATCAGCCAAGGAAAGGAGAGTGATATGAGTGTCTATCTGCCCTTCAAGCTCCTCACAAGCACAAAGACAAACAGCGTGTCAGGCTCACCATTGTCTGTTGATACAAAATAAAGACAAGGGGGCACACCTCAGTCTTTACTACTAGACTACACGAGAGGAAAACGCCCCGGTAAGATCTGTTACTGCTTCCTATCCTGTTGTTGATCAGGCAACAAGTACCAGCAGGGCTCTTGCAGGGGCTGAATTCACACAATTGGTGTTGTTGTGCATCCACTGCTGACATCAGTGAAAAAGAGCCTGGCTGATGGGATGCGCTTATTCAAATAAACTTTTTGATTAAACTCTGGACTAACAAAGACCCGATGTGTCCAATATGAGCATTTCAGTCCATGATCCTAGTGTTATTCTAGTCTGGTTTTATCCAACATCACGACCAGGTTTCCTAAATCTACCTTGATTCCGTGCACGACCCCGTGAGACAGCGGCGATAAATACAGAATAGAATAGAATAGAATTACTTTATTGATCCCAAACTGGGAAACTGTGGTATTACAGCAGCAGGTTATCCAACACACCATGAGTAAAAAACACAATGTTAGCAAATCTAAACACAATATAATATTAACTACAAAGTAAATAAGCACTAAAAGATATCAAAAATAAGAATTGTGAATATACAACCAGGATTTCACTAAGCATTACTAGTCTTAAATAGGAAGATTAAATATGGATAAGATTGAATGTAAATGTGCAAAAACAGAGTTGTAAATGGACAGTATTGACATAAGTTGAAGTGCATGAGTGCAGACATATAATAAGCAGAAGCTATACAATGTAACGGCGAGTAGACAGACACATGACGCGTCCCTGTGTTTCAGCCCTCAGGTCCACACGTCGTGCCCTACATAAAACACTCAATCACACATTTTAGAAGGAGGGTGCACACGGAAAACGAGGCAGACACTTAAGCGTCGGGTACACGCAATACAAAAACTCAGCTCCTCCGATGTGCTCCACCCTGATTTTCTTACACTGTGCCAACAAACCGCATGAAGCGCAGAAACGATGAGGGCTTCAGCTGAGCCAGGATGACAGCGCCGAACAGCAAAGGGGGAAATACAATCGTGGCATGTTAGCCCAAAAGAGCAATATTTTTATGTGGCTCAATTGCACAACAAACAAGGTTTTAAACCCCCCCCAAAAAAAACAGATTAAAAAAAAAAATGTATCATAACGCCCTTTCCAAATGCTTACATCGGACCCAGCAGTGACATAACAGATTTACACCAAATCCACCAACGATGAGTTACTAACATATAACAAATCAAATGCGAGGTGTAACATCTTGTGACCTATATTTTCTTCTGCAGGTTAGTTAAGGTGCTTTCAAACTGTGCTCATTACACATTATTACCAACTTGAGGGGGGGGGGGGGTGTACGCCAAATGTAACCGTGATTCACGTAAGGGCGTAATTTACACATAAAGGGCGTTGCATTATGACGACCCTGCTATCCGGTTTACCCACCGTTAATCTAATTCAAGTTATGGTTAGCCAAAGTTAACGTTAGCCCAAGTTTAGCTTACCGGCGATGCAGTCAGAAAAAGTTAGCCTCTACAAACCACCCCTCTTTCAAAAAATACACTCAAGTTCAAATCAGCTACGATTAACTTTTGCAGTTTTCTAACGTTATCCGCCTCTAAGTGCAGAAGAGTTGATTATCTTACACACACACACACACACAAGGCTCACAAGGTACCTGCTGCTCCAGTCCAAGCTGGCCTATCCGCCATTTTGAGACTATGAAAAAAGGAGGCGCAACATTTAACAGCCACATCGTCATGTTCTCCTCCTAACGCCACTTTTTTGATCGGCTTTCACAGATGCTAGGAAAAACTAGAAAAACTCACCCTATTGTTTCCTCTTCCGCGAGTGTCCACAGCCGTCTCCCACGGTAACACGACCCGACAGGGCGTGAAATTTCCGCACCAAAATATGATCTTGTGATGTGGAGGTAAACTGTGCCCCGTCTCGTCGGTCGGTCGCTCTCTCTCTCTCTCTCTCTCTCTCTCTCTGCCTGCTTGTTTTTTTTTTTTTTTTTTTTTTTTTCTCGAAGCCTAACCGCATTCGCCTTCAGACCGGGCGCGCGCACGCAACTCGCGGTGACGAGCTGGCGGGAGCGCGCACGTCCTTAAAGTGAGAAAGGAGGTGGGAGGCGTTCAAAATATTTAATAATATATAGAGTATACATTTTTTTCTCAGTTGTAACGTCTAGTCTACTTTTTGGCTACTCTAGATGCGTTTATTTTAAACCGCATTTATTAAATAAAAAATAAAAAAATGACACATTCAAAAGTGGCGGAGAGGTCAGCGTTGGATTTTACCTTGAAAAGATGCCCCAGAAGAAGGAACTGTTTCCTTTGAGCTTGTATTTATATAAGTGTCCCTTTAACGATACCCCACTACATTTTAGTAGTAAAAACGTCTTACAACACTACATTTATATTATTTGCAAACGAACACATTTCATGTAGGCTATACTAACACTAGTCGAGCCTGTTAGCCTAATGAATGTAGTGTGTTCAATTCAGCAAAATAGCTCGTTCTCGGCCATGTATGAACAAAAACAGTGCATATGGTGTAATATTTCAGTAATACAAACGCACAACACACTGACAGAACATATCTGGATGTTTTTTTACCTACTGCAATTGCACTTTATAACGACTCCCCTTTCAGTGAGGACAGAAGACATTTAAACTTTTAAACTTCAGCCTGAGTTGCATATATCATATATCAAACTGTATTGTGGGCTCATGTTTTTTTGTATGGGTGGGGTATGTATGTATATATGTGTTGTGTTGTGTGTTTGTATGTATGCTGGCTGCTGGAACACCTAAATTTCCCTCCTGGAATGAATTAAGTATATCTTATCTTAATATATTGTTTCCTGTCATTTAGTTGCTACAATCCTTTTATTTTGTTCCAACACTTGCTTATTGTATTCAGTTATCAAACCCAAACAAAACTTTAACTAGTATTATTTTATTCATTTTCATATAAAAAAAAAAAAAAAAAAAGCACACTCAGTCCAAAATATAATTAGATTGTTATTCTGTAAAGAGCAACACACAAATGCCACACATCATCAGGAGAAGCAGACTCAAAACACTCGGCCTACTAGACGCCTTTGTGCAGAAGAAATTGCATCAGCTAATGTAGCACAAAACTTTTAGACAATCATCTTTTCAGGTTTCTCAGTGACACTAAATGCAAGAGGGTAGCATAATGTTGATAGTAGATATTAGACTATTTCCCCCCTCATGAAGACTTTGAAATGTTTTTGCACAGAATTCAAACTCAATGTTTGGTGTATATTGATTACATTACGGATAATTTCAGTTAGTATTAATATTCTACATCGGCAGTGCATCTGAGGCTTTGCAAATGGTGTTTGTAAATTAAACATGAAATGTTACACTTCACCCTTAACTTTGTTTTAGTACAACATACTTTGTTTTCTTAGTTCTGATGCTAGTAACAGATCAAACTTATCAATTCAAAACAGAATTATTTCACTGTAGTACTAAACAAAAGCACTCTTATATGTGCATTAAAGAATTTTATCTGTTCAAATAGTTTTATAAATCTCTCCCATCACTGCACGATTCTATATTTCAGAACAGCTTCGACTGGTAGCAGGTTTTTATAAGTTTTGAGCATATTTGGGAAATGTTTAGCTTTAAAGAACATTTTTTTTTAAATGGGCTTTACAAATATTTTCGAGTTCCACGTGTCTGTAAGGGTCAATGTATGTACCTTAAGGTTGAAACAGATGTTTGTGTGCCACCTTGTGGATACTGTTGGTATTACTATTGTTCAGTACTTGATAAGCAGGGGACTTAAGAAATGGTCTTAAATGAAAAAGTAATGATGATACAACAAACCCAGAAAACAAAACCAAGACTCTTAACATGATAAAGTCATTACCTGCTATCACCCTGGTTCCATTCAGAAGCATACACAATAGGCACAATACACACCACACTCTGCTTTTGATGTTATGATGACATCATCTTTAGGCGCACATTCAGGAAAAATCCCTGTGACAACCATGTCAGTCTGAAGAGCTCTGCTTTGCTTTTGTTTTTTAGATTATTCCTCCAACACAGAAAGTAGTCCTCTGTCATGTTTTTTCTTTTTGTAAAGTAAAAACTGCATTCTTGAAAAACAATCATTTGGAGCTCCGTCTCTATTGCTTTAATCACATACATTTAGACACGGCAACAATTAAGTAACAAATTGCCATGGGAGGGATACATTGCATGTATACAAGCGCACACAGACCTTTATCAGTGTTTTTTGGTACATCAAACTGAGACAGCTCTTCTTTTGCCCACTTTTGGTTGTGCTGTGCACATGATCGCACAGTCAAACAGCAGGAGAAAGTGCACTGCAAAAAATGCTCAGACACCCCTGGCTGGTTCTTGTCTCAGCTACAAACAAACAGATAACCCAATAATGAAAAAAGAAAAGAAAAAACAACACCCAGCAACAATAAATCAGTCTCTACAGCCCATTGTGAGAAGAGGCTCATTTTAGTACCAACTCATACAGAAACAGATTTACATTGGCGGCCATGATTGATTAAAGAAAAGAGGCTTCAGCCATCCAACAGGTCAAATATGAGTAGAAAAATAAAACATTAGGAACACCAATGTTTGCTTTTAGCCTCTATTCAAACTATGCAGCAGCAGCAAAAGCAACAGTAGCCCTGGCCGAAAGATTTTCTGTTGAACTACACAAAGACACACACACACACACACTGTCACACATACAAACATACATGCACATATTCTTTCAATGTGTAAAAATAGAATATTGAACACAGCTAGTATATAGATAGATAAATCTAATGCGTAAAGTGGATGTGCCAAATCTGCAATTTTCCATTAGCATCAATCAAGCACCTGTCTAAATCAGATAGATTTATACATCTTTTTTTTCCACTTCTATACATTTTTCTATAAAACAGACATGGCTTAAATTAATTGATGATCAACAGGCATAAAATACCTTTATATTTCTCCTTTGCACTTTTACAAAATCCATTATTTACTTAAAAAAAAAAAAAGAAGAAAATTCCATCAAATGAAATCAAACTGGTAGAAGGCTCACTATAGTGTGACTGTTATCATTTTCTTGCTCAGAGAGGCAGGAACCATCAGACTCAGCAGGCACCCACCTGGGATGTCGTAAAGAGAAAATGATTGAAAGATTAAATTAATTAACCATCAGGGGACATGTGAGAATGACGGGCGACTGCTGCAAATATGGCTCAAAGAAGCCACAGAGAAGGGGATTTACATTCTGAAGCCCCCCTTGAAACATCTCTAATTTTGTGACTGTGTTCTGGTTTAAGTGCACAATAGAAAGTAGTGCCCCTGAGTTCTAGGACAGGGTGGGTGCTTCCTGGTTTTAGAGCACTGAGGGGTGGGGTGGCTACATGCTCCAAGGCTCTTTAGGGAATGGCGGGGCAGAATGTGGTCCTGGGCTAACAGTGTTGTGGGATATTTGAGCTGGGAGAATATGGTACAGCGGATAAGGCTCTGGTATACAATGTCATGGTCGTCCTTGGTCTCCCTCCCCCCGGCTGTAACCAGGCTTTCATATGCGATCGTATTTCTACAGCAGCTAACATCTGCATCAGCAGCTTCTCGGGCCGGGGATTTGTCAGATTGCACATTACATTGGTTCTATGCGTTTGTACTCTCGCTCCCTCTTTTTCCTACCTTGTAGGAAGTCCCCTATCTCTGTATTCCTTTTTCCTACAGTTCATACTGTTTGTTCTCTGCTCTGCCCTCACCCATCCCTCCCCCATTTATTTCAATGCTGATTCAGACCGCTTGGCTCTCAGTTCCACAGGCTCAGTGACACTGCTGTTAAGTCACCGCCTACCCCCCTCCCCGATAGCAGAAAGTAGCCGCGTCGAGGGCATTCGGACTTTAATCGATGGGAATTTTGTCCTCTAGCTCCAGTGGGCTGTCCTCGGTGGGCTCCTCAATCTTTCCCAGCTCCTGCAGCTGCTGCCGCCTTTGAACTTCTGCCTTCAGGTTCTCCAGATCCTTTTGGCTGAAAGTGAAATACCAGAAAAAAACATTACTTTACTTCTCATAGAAGAAAAAAACAAGGATTATTTTTGGCTCTTGTGATTTATGTTGCTGAAACTCAATAAATATATTGTTATACAAGATATACCCCAAATTACGGAGTTGAGGCTTAAAATGTCATCAATGTATTTAAAATAAATGTGTGCAGCTTTATTAAAGGGGTTGCATCCTGTGTCTAAATGACCCCTTTTTAAACGTACAATGAGAGTACTTTGGAGCAAATATATGTAATTGTGGAAAATAGAATACAATTTACAAAAGATAATGTTACAAATGATTGACATCTCACTTAACAATACAGTTTTTTCCACATACTGCTTGAATAAAGCTGCACTTCAAAACTTGAAAGAATCTTAATGGACTAGTTTTCCAGGATTAAAGAAATGTGTTTGCTGTTTAATTCTTGGAAAAGACAGAGCTGGCACTAAAGAAGACAAGGTGCCGTGTATTTGAGGATCCTTCAACCCAAAGTTGTGTTTAAATAACATGAGTGCAATATTAAAACAATATATAATATACAGTATATAATATTTCATCAGAATGTTAAGTCCCAGCATAATGTTTCCCAGTGTTCACATAAGATAAAGCTTCTTTCTCACTCTACCTGAGTGGTATAAAGATGATGCCGTTGATGATGTTGAGCTGTTCCAGGACACTGGCCATGTTGGGTGCGGTGAACTGGAAAACAGGAATAAAAAAAAAAAAAACATAGCATCACTGCAAGGTGGCGGAGAATAAACAGAAGCCATAAAAACGGGTTTTGATGTCTTGTGCAGTAACCTTGAGGGGCATGATGCTGGCGTTGGAGCCGTTCTTGTAGATCTCGTTCATGGTTCTCTGCAGAGCTACAGCCTGTTGAGTGAGATACTTTAGGTACTCTGAGCTCTCCTTGGTTTTCTCATGTCCCTCACCCATCTGAGAAGATAAAAAAAAGATGGATCATTAGCTTTAAAACAGTCAGAAACCTTAAAGAACAGAGTGTGGGTTCAGAGCAGAGTTGTACCTGGTTCTTGTAAATGGTGTAACCCTCCTTCTCGTGCTGAAGTGCAGATCGGAACTCAGCCTTGCTCTCGTAAACCCTCGCAACCAAATGATGGCTGAAAAATATTTTGTCAGTCAGTATGTAGGTCAGTACAATAACTCTACATTTGGATGGTAAATATATATATGAATATGTGAGAGAGAGAGAGAGAGAGAGAGAGAGAGAGAGAGAGAGAGAGAGAGACAAGTAATCGCTCCTTACCTGAGGGCCACTTTGAGGGAACGGGATCCATGGTACTTTGTGTTGATGGTCAATGCGTTCTCCAGGAATCTCAGCGATAAATCATACTCCATCACTCCGTGCAGCACCAGCCCGATGTTACTCTGCAGAAAGAGGGAAAAGAACAAGAACAGCCGTCACTGATTCTGTCAGGAGAACAAACAAAATGAACGTTTTCCTGAGGTAAGTAAGACATACCGGTAAATATATATTGATTTTTTTTTATTATTAATTTTTATTTATTTATTGCAAGACAAAGGATAATACACTTACAAAACACCAGAGACAATTAAAATAAGTACAAGCCAGAAAAACGAGGGAATATTCATGTTTAGTCTGTGTCCCGAACTCATATTTAAAATTTTAAGAGAACAGAATTGTGTGCACGTGTGTGTGTGTGTGTGTGTGTGTGTGTAATAAAGAAATATTCTTCCACAATATCATCATCATCACTATTATCATCACCATCATCATCACTACCATCAACAACCAATTTGCAGTATTACAATGTCAATGTCAAAATACGTATTGATGATAACGCAAAGACTCACGTCTAACAGTGCCATCTCAGGGTGGTCCTCCCCGCACACCATCAACAAGAGGTAACGGGCGCGATACAGCAGCTTCAGGGCAGTGGACAGCTGGCCATTGGCGAAACAGTACAGAGCCAAGTGCATCTAAGGGGTGGAGGGAAAAAACTCAGGTGAGATGTCTGTTCAAGCATCTTATGAACAAATACATCTTTGATTTGACATTTAACTTACATATTCTTGAATTGTGTTGGGGTGCTCAATGCCGAGGACTCGTTCACTCATCAGAACAGCTTTTTGCTGGTTGCTGAGAGCCTGTGGATAAAGAACCAAATGCAGTTTTAGTGAAATGGAATCAATAGGATGCATCTAGATGCTGATATAGTAAAAGGCGTCATATTTCTTGTGGTCATTCTACAAGGTGTCGTGCCTACCTCTGGATGGTCTCCCATGATGTAATTAAGGCGTGCCAGCAGGCGCAGGCAGGCGCAGATCTCTACGTGCATTGCTCCGTACACATTGTTGAAGAGGTTAAGAGCCTCGTTGATCAGCTCGCAGCCCTCCTTCAGAAAACCTGGGCATTAAATCAAAAAAAGGGGTTATTATGTAAAATTAACTCAAAATGGAAATCTTCTTGTTAAGTCAGATTCACTCAAAAGTGTTTCTATGTATGACTACATCCTTCACCTTGCTGCACTTTGGCCTGTCCGCTTTGGAAGAAGTGGAAGGCATCTGAGGCTTTGGGGTTAACGTGCTTCACAACAGGGAAAATATTCAGGATGTCCTCCTCTGTGAAGGCAGGCTTGTGGCGGCTGTCAAAGTTATACTCCTTTATAAGAATCTAGAAGAAAAAGTAGAGGAAATGTCATGACGAGGATTTTGACACCGAGGCACCGAGAAGTCACTGTAGATTGTATGAGAGTTACCTGGATGCCAGTTTTAACTGAAATTTCTCTGAGCAGAGTGATTTTCTGGAGGCCATATTTCTCCACCACCTGGTCCGCACTTTCACTGCACAAAGAACCATCATTTGTCACCAAAACAACACAAAACGCAAACGCTTTCACATTTGTTCAACCTGAACAGAGTCTTTACCACTGGATGGTGAAGTGATAATAGCTCTGGGCCTCGGATGCGATGTTCTTCCACAACTCGCTGGGCGTCAGGCTGGCCCACGCCGTGTTGTCACCTCCGCCGGGGACCCTGTTGCGGCGCTTGCGGCTTTTGCGGCGCGACACCAGCTCATCGGGAGGAAGGTGGGCGACTGCGTCAGGGAAGGAGCTCAGGAAGCAGTTGAGGAAATGGCTTACAGCAGCAGAGAGGGCAGACAACTCTACACCCTGCACGATGCAAAATATAATGTAAGGAAATGCAAGTTTGTCTTTTTAAGAAGCTACATTACATGTTGTGTGTTGAATGATACAAACCTGCAGGTATGTCTTGAAGATATGTTTTGCACATCTGGTGATGAGCTCACTGATTCCTATTCTCTAAGGGAGGAAAGAGAAAACATTTAAATGAGTGAACACAAGGACAAAAAAGGTGGCTGACAGTGTTTGTAGGAACCAGGAGGATTCCAGACTTACATAGAAGTGCTCCAGTTGGGCTTTGGCAGGAGTTTTGTCCACAAACTCCAGAACTGTGCCCAAATAGCGGACATTGATGCCTCTCTGGCGCAAGGCCTCTGTCAGTGTGGCTCCATCCATGGGCACAGAGCTGTGGTCCAAACAGTCTTTAACCTGGTGATAAAACACACACACAAACACACATGTATGACTTTAATCTCAGACACACACACACACACACACACACATCCAGGTCACATAGAGGTTGAATTTTCTGGTTGAGTGAGTATCTGTGTCACTGACCAGTGATGGGACCTGACAGGAAACAAGGAAGGCAGCAGCATCTTTGAGAAGCTGCTTCTGCTTCTGCACGTCATCTGTACTCTCATCTGGGAAACGTACTCCTGGTTCAACAACACAAACACAGTCACTTTTGTGCTTCTATTGCCCTCTGATCAATTAACCCTTACTCTCTTATATCACTGCACAAAGATCATTTTGAGCCGATTGTGCTTAAAAATGACTAATCTGACAGCTCAGGGAGTGTAAATAGATGAAACACTACACTGATGTTAGCTGCTCTTCAGCTAAAAATGGTAGAGCGACTAATCATCTTCACAGGTTAAACACTTCAGTTCTTTGACTTTATATAGCTGTGTAGAATGTAGGAGACAGTTTCTGCCAACATTTGTCAGAGAATTATTCTCGTCTCATCACATCGATCATTTTATGTTTTCAGTTTAGCCACAGAAAGCCCATTTGGGTGTATATGCCTCTGACATGTTGATCTTTGTATTTGAATATCCATCATCTTTCCCAGTGTATCACATATCAGCCTGATCAACACACAAACACTGGTTTAAAAATAGATTTCTGAAGCTCAAGGTTAAAAGATGTAGTCATCTGTAGAATATAATATATGAATAAAACGGCTTCATGGCTCATTTTAATGTAAAAAAAAAAACCTGTTTGCATATACAGCTTTTCCCTGTTCACACACTGTACATCTATACTCTTTAAGGTTTTCTATAGTCCATGTATGACTTGTGCTTACCTGGGGAGAAGATGTCAGGGTTGAAGCGAATGTCAAAAGACGTGTTGCTGATGGAGCCGACTGCCTTGCAGGCGTTGAGGACGACCTCACGACTTTTAGGATCTGTTTTTTTTATTAGGACAAGATCAAAGAAAAGGTTAAGATTACGAAAAAGCAGACCCATTATATCAAAATGTCTACAAAGAAGCAGTGCTAACCATGTCCATTTAAGCCAGCAAGATTATCATTTTAAAAAATGAACATTGTAGCTATGGCTGCATAATGTTAAAAAGCCAAGATGACTTATTTATCATAACCTGATTAGTTTTCTTCACAGATACAATGCTCAATGATGCATACCGTGTTTTATCCACAGTAATGATATGCTTTATATGCATCCAACACACAATACAATAAATATAGATATAATATTAAGATTCAATCATGATGATGTTGAATCATTAAAGAGATGATGAAGTTAATGATGGATATGTCGATCATGAGGTAACGTTATGTAGACATGGCCCAAGTCCACAACGCCACCATTTACAAACCGTCAATTAGCTTCAAAACTCCCTTAAGATTGAGTCAGGGTGTTTAACATGCAGATTACTGTAATTCAGGGTCAATTGGGTGTCACACAAATCATTCAAAGTGAGATTGTTTCTGCATTCCGATTCATGTTTGGATTAATGAACACAGCAGCCGATTATTGAGTTAATTGGGTCATATCCCACAGCAAAGGCAGAGTGCAGACCAGTGAGAGGTGGGTAAGGGACCAACAACACTCGATTGAGCAGCTACGGCTAGTCTGGTGGAAAGAAGCGTGTACGTCCCACAACTTTTCGCTTTAATGCTCTAGCAAAATTCTTTTTTCTATAAATGCACCAAAGTCAGCGACAAAGTCTTGGTTAAATACAGCTTTTCAAATAAACTTCCTTTCTTATTAAATAATCCACCAAAGTAGCTCTCACTGCATCATCTTGGCCTAGCTGGGGTTTTTTTTTTTTTTTTGACATACCAATACAAGATCCATCTTCGGCAACTAAGGTCTCCGCTAGCTCTTTGGCTTGAGCTAATCCTGGAATACTTTCCTCAAGCTCCTTACCCTCCAATGGGCTCTTGCATTCTCCGTTCTGGGTGGTTGTGAGGTCTAGAGGCCCGTTTGTGGTGGGCTTCGAGGAGTTTTCTTCACCTTCAGTCGCTGCCGGCGTGGCAGCCGGGGTGCTGCTGTCTGTCGGGCTCGTGCTGTCAGCGGAGACGTCTGTTGCACTGGGAGGATCTGATGCAGCAGTCTGTGTCGGGGTTGGCTCATCTTTGCTTTCTGAGCTTGTCTCAGAGGTTTCTGTGATAGCAGGCACGTCAATCTTTGTGTCCTTGTTTGCTTTCTGCTGCATGAGCTGTAACGCTGCCATCTTCATGAAGAGGAGGTATCTGGGGAGGGACAGATTGAACAGTTTAACACATGTAGAAACTCTCCTCATTGTAGATATGGGATGATGCAGTGCAGACACATACCTGTGCTCCACAAAGGCCTCGATGAGCTCCTGGCGTAGACAAGCCAGGCGGTGGCGGTGCTGGCGAGGGTAGCCTTGGCGCTGACTCTCTGGAGGCAGCACCTCTCCTTCCACAGGCAGGAAGTTGAGGTCAGGAGGGAAAGTACGAAGAAGGTCCAGAATGTAGTGGCGGCCGTCGTTTCCAATGATGCCCTTGCACTCAACGGAAGAGCACAGCTCCACTGTCTCGTTTTTCTCATTTAATACGCTGTGCCTCTGAACCTAAAATATACAGTACCAATATACAGGGATATTTACTTGTTGAACAAAATCAATAAATAAATGCTTGAATGGAGAAAAAGACGGACAACTGACCTTGAGTGGCCTGCTTGTCTTCTCCAGCAGCTCCAGGTATTTGATGTGAGACACCACCGTCTTCCCAAAGTCGATGGATCCGTAGATGACGCTCTGCTCCTGCTCACGCTCCAGGATCCCAGGGATGATTGACTGTGCGGTGACTCGGTACCCTCTGTAGTCCACCACTACTGTCCCCAGAGTGTACAGGCCCTCCACATCTACGGCCCCGTAAGCACGTACTCCATTCAAGTCATTGGTGGGTGCTGCATGGGCAGCCGCATCTCCACCCAGCTCGCGATAGTGGTCCCGCACATCGAAGCCGAGGCTGAAGAAGATGTTGTTCCAGATAAACATCTGCATTCGCGTTTCCTCACCAGGGTTTATGGCCATTACGTTGCCGTCAATAACTGCCATGGCGCCTCGAGTGGCAGCCGCTGCAAAGTCACTGTGGACCTACAGGAGGACAAAAAAGACATTTAAAAACTTAGAAGAAAAAGCTGTTACAAATGTAAGTAAAAAAAAAAAAAAAAGTGTACACATGAAACTGACATCATATTTCCTGCTAGATGTTAGTGAGCACTTTTAGTGAGAGAATCCTCTGGTCTCCACTGTCTGTTCACATAATGATGAAACACTCAGTACCTTAAATATGGCTCTCTCCCTCAGCAGGCGTTCAGGCAGGTTCTTCCGGGGCAGCTCTCTGGTGGTCTGCAGCTCCTCGTTCCAATCTCTAGTCTGAAAAAAATAAATAATCAGTATTGACATCTATATTGATGACTTGTAAAACACAAGTTATCTGCCTAATCTGCTGCTATGTGCAGCTGTTCCCACCTGTCCAGGTATGTGCTCCTCATAACCCAGGCGGGAGGTGTAGGCGTCCTCAGCTCGGACACAGTCCATGGCGTGGTCTACCTGTGGGGCTGTCCAGCTGTACACCTGGAAAGGAGTGGCTATCCTCTCGAACGGGTGCCTCTGGACCCTGCAGGAAAAATAGTGAAACATTATAGATACTTTTTTTTTTTTTTGTGTATCATGGGCTCTTCGTCAAAGTATGCTCTTGTAATGAGAAGTTCCTAAAACACCTAAATAAAACCAATGCATGACAAGGAACACTGTAACTGTTTCCTGACAGCATGCGACGCGAGTGAGTGTCAGCAACAAAGTCATCTTGATTCCACTGTTTCCAATTTGATTGTCTTTAACCTCAGCTTGTGAGCGACGCAGCACAACATTTTGGACCCCGATGCTCTGTTTTTATTTTCATTCCTGTCTTGCCGTGTATTGACAAACCTTTGATTGTTTCTATTTGAGTCAAAAGCTTGTCAATACAAAGCACCTCATGTCATAATGCTTAACAGGGGATACTGAAATTCACTGAGGAAATACTGAACAGATGCAGTGTGGACAGCGAGCGTTCAATGCTTTGCAATCTAATGCTCGCCTGCTGTTAGAAAACAGTGCGAGTCCTGACCTTAAGACATGTATTATGTCTTCTTTAGTTTCTTTTTGTGTTGTGCTTTAAGACTTTGAACTGCTGAATCCTTGACTGGTTCAATAAAGTTAATGTAGGAATGATTAACTTAAGAAAAAAGATAAAAAGAAGTACATCAAACAGAAGAGCACCAACAGACAAAAAGAGAAGAGAGAGTTTTTAGCACTGCAGATTTGAGTACAGAACAGAGGCTGTGGATCAGCAGGTAGACACGGGGGTATATGATAATATCAGTTTTCAGAGGGGATGAGTACTGACCAGCTTAAATGCTCAGACACGAAGTCACTCAGTGAAAGGATTCTTAGCACAGGTAGGAGAATGAAGAACTGAAGGCATAGAGATGTTTTTCACCTTTTCTTTTGCAGGGCAGTGAAGTTCTTCTTAAAGGCAGGGCTGATCTGGCTCAGCAGCTCCACCAGAGAATGGCTCAGGAAACTGGGATTGGCTGGCTTAGGGTTAAAGGTGTAGGTAGTGGATCTATAATACACAGACAAACACATAAAACATTAGTATTGCTTGTTTTAAAAGCTCATTTATGACAAATTTACTAATATTTATACTACGAAAGCCTGGAAAGGAACTCGTTTTTCTGAGGGATGTATGTGGTGCATCTCTAGAAATCACAAACCCTCAAACATGAGAGGATCTTATTGAATTGTTGGAAACAAAAAAAAAAAGAATCCTGCTTCAACCAACACAGCATTTTTAGGAATTGTGTTCTTCAAAGTAATCCAACTAGACCTCTTTAATTAGAGGGTTAAGTCTTTGCTGGCATCCAAACTAATCCAAAATTAGGATCCTTAAACTGTTAACATACCCACTGCTTCTGCTGCCTGCATCTTTTTAAGTACTTAACACAGTCCTACACTGAAGCAAGGCCAGTTTTATTTATATAGCACATTTCAACAACAAGGCAATTCAAAGTGCTTCACACATGACATCAAAAGCATCATGAGTAATCGCTACATTGTGCATACACTACATATCAAGAGCTTAGGGGTATTTTTGGAAGAGTGCAGCGGAAACTGGAGCTGAAGGAAGATATGAGGAAGAAATGTGGACTGACTGGTTGAGGTAGAAGCCGCGTGTGGAGGCAGTGATGCTGACGTGGCGCTCTTCCACAGTCACCATGTACAGGTACATGAGGTCGCCGTGCATCTTCCTGTTTCCTGGTGGAGGGTTCCAGCCGCTCATGGTCAGGACCTTCAGGCACTGCATAGGCTGTTGGGATAGTTGACAACATTTGCACAAGTTAAGAATGGTAAATTGAGTTGGACCCTCTGCGAGTCCTTTTTTTAGTTCATGACTTTATATTATTCTCAAGCTGTGATTTCCCTGAATCACACTTTTAGAGCCAAACACTACTTCTCACCTTCCAATCCTTGTTCTGTGGTTGGAGGGGCACCAGTGGGCGGTCTTTGCTGCCGGGCAGGATGTGCTCTGGGGGGGTGCAGTCGATCTGCTCCAGCTCGTTTCCCTTCTTCTTCCTCTTACCGCTATCTGCAACATACATTTAAACAAGCGAGATGAGAGCCTGCAGGCCACCCTGCGATGTCGCTACAATCTTTCCTGACGATGTCGGCACATTAAAATGCTGCAGGTTTTCTACCATGAACCGTTCATGTCGTACCTCCAAGGTCTCCGTCAGTGAAGATGCTGAGGAAGGAGAGCGAGTTGCAGTCCACTCCATTGTAAGCGTCCGAGGGGTCCAGACTCTTCAGTAGGTCTCGGATGTGACGCACGTGGATGCGGGCCTCGCGCACTGTGTACGGCTCTGAAGGAAAGAGAGACAAGGAAAACACAAAGGGTATAAATAAAAGGGAGTGGTTTGACAATTCTGTTTAGTTATGGCCCCTCAGCTACATGCAACTCTCCAGGCAGGCTGCAGACAGAGGGGTATATCAATAAAGCTAAAATAAAGTCGTATTGATTGACACATCCTGAATGCATCATCGTGAAATACTTAGGACAATATATCACGGTTGATGTTGACAAAAAGTCAACCAGGTTTGACAGGTAGCACCAAACAATAATTTCTGATTCTTTAAATGATTTATTTCCACACAACATGGTTAGTTGATGTCATTGCATAAAAACAGGAAGGTCCAATTGCATCATCTTTGCTGTAGATTTAATTTCAATAGGGTAACAGTGTGCAGTTTAATGTATATCCCTAGCAGACACTTAGGTAGTACAATGGATGTGATTTCAGTCAGGTTAACCTGCTGCTTCTGACCTTCCACCACTTTGAGCAGCGAGCCCTCCTGCAGGCCCTCAATGGACTTGAGCTCAGCAAAGTTGTCCAGCACGTTTCCGTCCAGCTGCAGGGAGAAGCAGGTTCGGTGGCAGGTATCCTCACGGTCCATCAACACCTGATGGATCTCCTGGACCATTTCCTGGGGAGATACCTGATGCAGAGAAGGGAGAGGAAGGGAGAGGAGATGGTGTATTCATGTTGTTTGGACTTTATGATGTCTGGGTTCATTATGTTGGTTTGGTGTTTTGCTGTAGGAGTCCGTTTGCTGTTGGGTTCTTGTGTTGCTTTGGTTATTTTGGTGCTGTTCGGGGTTTTATATTTGCTTCTGCTTGAACATCAAAGCACTTTGTTGCTTTAGAAATATGTACAGCTTGAGATCCTTATCCTTATACAGGATTTGGTTCAGGTGTTTTGTCCATGTTCAGGTTTGAAAACATTGCTTAAATACGCCATGTTCACAATGTACTCTCATGTTTAGACCACACCCAGCCTTGTTCCAGTACTGGTTCCATCTCATGTAATCCAGGAAGGCTGGTTTGAATATAAGAAAAACAAGTTTGAAAGCTCCTTTTACAACAAAACCCTGCAGAGCTCTTCTCAAATATTAAAGGGTGGATTTTAAAGGTATAGGAAGTTATGATGGCACGAGTCATTTATTTCTCTCATGTAACAATTAGTAGTAAACTAAAATACAAAAATTATACAACCTAGGTACACTTTGTTTTTCCAGGAATGTGCACATATATGACATGAGATAGTTCTGTTTTAAGCCCTGTGTTATTGCCTGTTTGAACATTGGTCTGCAGCCTTACCTGCAGGTCGAATGGCTCTGTCCCAGGTGCCTGGATCTTAACGGTGAAGCCAGTGTCCTGGATCACAATCACTTCCTGTTCGTTGGACTCCTCTCCACCATCCGCCTCACCGTTCCCATCCGGTTTGGATTCTGCCTCCTCTGTGTGGCCATGAGCTCCATCACCATTCACCATGGCTGTATCGACACTGTGCCCTGCGATGAAGGAGACACAAAGATCATTCAGTAAACTCAATATCCCATGAAAGAGAGTTTGACAACTTTGAAGAAAGAGACTGTGAACGACACCTAAACTCTTAGAAGTGCATTGTGTACAAACAATTCTTCAGCTGCTATTATTCAAAGATCTGATCAAGAGGATGCACCACCTACACAGGGCCAGCCATGCAAAAAAAAAAAACACTTTTCTTCCACATGTAAGCAATGCTGCCAGGCAGCAAGGCCACAAACAAAGCACACAGACCCATGGCTGGATGACATCACCTGTAACCTCCTAAAATATTTATTAATGAGTGAAGAGAGGCGACAAAGCTTGACTATAGCTGCTAGTGTCATAGTTTCATTACATTTTAGCCAAACACAAATGAATTCAACGGAATATAAAGAACACAGAAGACAGAATCAACTGTGCAAGTTCTCCAAGAAGAACAGGCGTTTACAAAAAGCCGAAACTACAACACACAGATCATGAATGAACGTTCCAATACATTTTCAGATTCTCCATTCTGACCGGCTGAAGCAGACACTGTTGCAACATTAGCCCGTAAGTCTTCATGGATTTCGGTATCACAAGAGGGAATTACTGGTCACTTTCACAGCTAAATGTGGCTAATACATATCCTGCGAATAAGCGAGTAATCATTGAGCAGCTGCCCTTAATCTTTTACAGACGTTCAGTCCATAAAATGATGGTTACTCATTCTTTAGATAAGAATGAAGGGGAAAAATCTGAGTTACAAGGCAGCTGATCTCATGAATAAAAGATTCACGAGTTATATTTCCTATTGTATTCAGAGCAGACAACAGCTAGGGTGAAAAGACCACGACAGGAATATGAATTAGGCTTTGGTTAAATGTATTCAAAAGAAACAGGGCTGAGTGTGTGGATGTCGGACACCTGTTTTCTCTCACTGGGACTCGCCTGCATCCAGCAGTGTGTCCTTGCTCACTGTCAAGGGTAAACAGCGTCAGGGTTACAGGCAGAGGGGTGGGGCCTGATAACTGGACCACGGCACGAGTGAGAGATGAAATGGTGAAGCAGGGCGAATGAGGCGGAAGAGATAGGGTCAACTCACAACGCTTTGGACAACAAACACAACAACTTCAGAGCAGAAAAGCTTGTTTATAATGTAACTAAGTGGAGGAAAAGGGGGGCTGGGGGTTGTGCGTTTCATTCTGTCCGTTTTTGTTTTCAGTATCAATAGAGAAATGTTTCATTCCTCATCGGATCTTTACTCCTTTTCATGTTGACACCATGTTGGCGAGCTTACTTGGTTACTCTCCCTCTGAGAGCTGCAACTTTAGCATTAAAATGCTAAACTTATTTCACGCTAAACGTCTAACAACTTGCAAGCAACATGAGCATTCGTTTGAAGACACAAGCACTTGTGTTTTATTTCAAATAGGTTGATTCTTTTCTCCACCAACTTCTGACATTATAGCAGGCTCTGTAACAAAAAAGCGTCGCTATCTATGCGCTGAGCAGATATGATATGTAGATTTTGTTTTCTTTGGAAACAGCTGTCTGCTGCAGCTGACCACAACACTATGAATGTGTTGAGAGTTAATCAGATCAGTAAATTCAAAGATCAGACGCCTACACAATGAGCTGAAAGTGGCTGTAAAGCTCAATAAAACCAAGAGAAGCAACTGATTCATGTGATCTTTAGGAAGGTCCTTCAATCCCTTTCTGTAACATTGTCATTAAAATAAAGAATGTCGCCTTATTATCAGGCAAACTCATAACTGCCATATTTGAGCAATCTTTTTCAGACTGGCTTGGTACTCTTAATTGTAAACTGCATTGAACACTTTTTGGTTCATTTATTAAAAAAAAAAAAAAAAAAAGGGACAAAGTGTGAAAGAAGAGTTTCATGAGGAGCATAAGATAATGTAGCTCTTCATTTTTGACTCACAATCACCAAATCAGAAGAGTATTAAGTACAAAGATCCAGAAGCACTTTGGTTGATGAGGTAATCCAGCAGGCTGCGTGTTGCAAAACTGACCCATTTTCAAGTAGTGAAAGATAGTGCAGCAGCAAGTTAGTGATAAAGTAATGGTCAAGCCTGTCTTATTCTGGAACTGATTGTTTAATTAGGTTATATCAGGATATGACATTTTAATACCCATATCACAGAATGTATTCTTTGAAAATCTAAATGAATTGAAGTTATTTTTTTTCCATTTTCCAACAATCATAACAAAAAAGAAAAAACACACGCAATAAAAAATTAAACTGCAAGCCTGGGTTACACTGTAACAGACCCGTTTCTTCTCTGACTGAACAAATCTGTGAACCAAGCTGCCAGTTCAGTTCAGAAAGATAATTCATATCATGGTGCTTTGAGATGGTGGGATCCTTAGACAGCTTCTCTTTAGTTCATTAGCCTGACCAATGACTCTTGATAACAAAGCTATAAATCAAGCAGCAAGATATCTATCTACTCCGCAGCCCTTGACACGGGGCGACCCTGGCTGCTGCCATGGCAACATTAACCAAGAACCATGAAAACAGCAGCAGCAGCAGCACAAGGTCTGTCTGCAGACAAGTATGCTGCACCACAAGGTGGCAACCTCCAGATAGGATAGCCAGACCCTGAGTCATGGACCTATGGTGCGATTTCATGTCAACAAGGACTGAATACACAGTCTGTTTGATTCTGTCATTAAAATATATATATATATTTTTTTTTTTTTGTTAGTGCTGTCTGTCTGTGTAATGTGTTGCCTTTTAAGCTGTAATGCAGTTTTTTATTTAATAGAAAGCCTTTCCTCACCAACAATTATTATTAAAATAAATATAAAATATATCATGAGACCTAAATATGTTTTTGAGCTATTAAGCCATTAAAAAGTCGATGAGATGAAACTAAATTAGAAAAACCATTTGTGAAGTGATTACATTTTCAATTGAGCATTTCTTTAGTATAATATTTTGCTGAAAACCATTGTGTTTTATATAACGACCAGAGAAAACAGTTCCTCTTGGGGGCTTACTGATCCTGCACTGGGCATGTAGACACAGCTTGTAAATATATTTAAAGGACTGAAGATGAGGAGAAAGTCATGACATGTAACTTGAAAACACAAATATGAAAAACCAAAGCTCTGCTAAATAAAAGACTGACATATCAAACATGATATTTTAAGTGAAGGCTTACATTTTTTTTTTTTTTTGAAACCATTGCAGTTTTGAATACAATATCTTTGAATCTTAATCTTTGGGGAAGTAGTGCCAGGTCTGTCTGAGCAACAATTTTAAAAACTAAACATAATGAATGAAGTATCACATAGTCGGACAGCTGGTTAACATTTTGCTTCAAAGAAACTCTATTAATACATCATCAAAACAGAGCTTTATTAGTGTTGTCTTCATGGAGGTATCACTTAATAGGCTGCTGCTGCTGATCTAAATTAGTGCATCCACTGCTGCATGGGAGGAGGTGGAGGAACTTAAACACTGACCAGAGAAAACTCCAGACAAAAAAACATGAATCATTTACATGTACGACTCAGTTACTCTCCAATGTGTTTCCCTATGTAGTGACAGAGAGAAGTCAAGGTCCCCACATGTTTCAGAGAGGCTGCAGCAGACTCTTCTGGTGCTCCATAAGTTGTGTAACGTGAAGTTCACCTATCGGGTTTAATCTTCCTCTATCGACAACACTGTACTTGCTGCTCAGCCGCGCCACTACTTTCACATTACAGTATACTCACCAGCTTACACGTATGTTCATGTATTATTAGCGTAACCTTCCCTCTCTCTCTGTCTCTCTGTAATGCACTATCATGACTTTTTTCTACAACTGCGAGCTTCCGCTTCCCGGTCGAGGAGGGCCACTCCATCTGATCCTCCACGACGGGGAGGGGGGGGGGCCGCTAAATACTTACCATCGACCGCTAGGCACTATCGTCATCCGACAACTTTTAATATGCAGGTTTGAAACCCCCAATCCCAAAAAACGATGCAACATATATTTTAATAACCAGTTCTGACACAGGACCGTCAAATTAAAAAGGACACAATGTGACAGAGAACCCCTGTATTCATGGGGACAGTGTGCCACTCCACTGAAGGTGACCTTCAGTTCATTTCTCTGACACGATGTTACCGAACATGTGCGTCAATTTAGAGTCACGTAAAACCACCCGTGTGTTAAAAAAAACAAAACACAGTTGTTTTTAAAACCGAAATGACAATTGTCTGCATAAACTCTCCTCCTGGACACGCAGGGCTTCTGCTTTGCCACTTAGCTGATTAGCTGGGTGAGGAAGCTAATGGTAGCACACCGGTAGCTATCTTGTTTTGGGTTAGCCTGATTGGCATGCAGTGTCAGGTACCAGGTTTGGACTACCTGCTAACAGCGATTACACAATTTATGTAGAATTTCATCTGTCCTGACTGTGAACAAGCCTGGCACGATAATGACCACACAAATGCAACATGCAAGAGACTGACATCACACAGCTACTTAGCAATGTGCACCCTTTTAAACTTGAACAGGCGACCAAGGAGATGGTTTGAAGGAGGAAGGGGGTAAACCCCACAAGACGACCACCTTGGGGGGGGTTCTGTGGACTTTTTTTTTTTTTTAAGTCGCACTAAAAAAAAGCATGCAGGCATATGTCACAAGCCTAAGTCTTCAATAAACCACTTTGAAGTCAGTCAGTGTACAGTGGTGTTGACTTCATAGATTTACACAGTTAAGAGCATGTATTTTTGAGAGGTGTTGTCATGATGTGAAATGTGTGTGTGTGTGTGTGTTCGGTGTTGTAACAAGCAGATATGACGCAGACAAAGTTTGCTGCATTGTCTCACCACAGCCGCATGAGTCCTTCAGATGTGTCTTGCTGCTTTCGTTGCTGTCCCGGGCTCCATCTCCTGCTTCATCCGCAAGATCAACCGGATTACAGTCGGGCACTGACGCCGGTATGTCATCTGTCTTGCTCACCATGGTCGGCAGTCAGTGTGGCAGCAGTACAAATCCCAGCAGCAGTGCGAGTCTGTGAGGCTGTAAAAGAAATAGGAAAACAATCTTGCTTCTCCGGCTGATTCAGGCTATCGCTGGCTACATGCGAAGGGTACAGGCTTACAAAAACAAGTCTACCCGAGGAAGGACAGCGCTGCTCACGGTGCTGCTGCTGCACACGTGGTTTTCTCAACCCCTCCTCTTGACCTCTTTGCCTTTGCGTAGCAGTGGGTTGCACTTCCCCATCAACCGAGCGTGGCGCTACGGAAAGCCACACGCGTCAAATTCATTTTCACCAACTTGTTTGAATTGTTCGTTTAGATGAAAGTGTAGACTTTCTTATGCGATGAGTACGACTACTTGTAATAGTTACATGGGGAGAAAATAAGACATCACCGTACGGTTATGAAAACCACGGATTGAGATGTTCAGAGTTGACATGTCTGTGAGGTTGACCTACATGTCATCAGCTCCTATCAAGTCTCCAACATGCACACATTTGCTGAATGTACTGGTGCATCACTTTCTGATTAAAAGAGTGTCTTTCAACGGCGTGCCAGTTTTCACAACAGTGACAGTCGGAGCCCTCGCTGAAAGATTTAATCATGACCTCGTGAAATAAAAATCCACATCTTTCTGGGTGTGAAATAGGAAACCCTTCAATTTATCTGCAATACATCTTTAATTGTCTTGTGTCTCTGCTTCTTCTTCAAAATACCAGAGTGAAATCATCATGTGTCACATTGTCAAATTGATTTCATGAGCCTGCAAGGGAAAGTCTCCTGGATAACATTTTATAGCAAGAAAATTACATTTTAGATGTCAAATAAACAACACACATTTTAGTAAAGAAAAAAAAACACTCTCTTTAAATTATTCTACCTTATAACTCATATTCCTTTATAAGAAAAAGTACAAATAACTATAGGGGCACGGCTGAAAGGTTTTCTTAGAGGGAGCCAAAGTGACTTTATTTCTATGGAGAGGTTAGTTGCAAATACAAAATATTGTACATGATAAACAAGAGAGAGGATACCAAATGGAGCAATCGTAATTCAATTAATTAATTTATTCCCAATTGAAACGTAAGTTAAATCAGTGCTGCCAGAGCCATGTGATTTATCCCATTTATCCACATGAACATCACATTCCTCATTTAACCACTTTAACATTCAGCTCCTGCAGCCTCCTGATGTGTCCTTGGGCCAGACACTGAACCCCAAGTTGCTCCCTCTGCTTCGTAGTCGCCGATGAATGGGATTAGTTACTTACTTCTGATGGACACTTTACATAGCAACCTTTGCCATCAGTGTGTGGATGTGTAGGTGTGACCTGCGGTGTAAAAGCGCTTTAAATAGAAGACTAGAAAAGCGGTATACAAGCTCAAGTCCATTTGACTTTTAAACCTTCAAGCAATAACAACAAGCAGGCAGCAGACTTAAGACAATCCTTCATTTTATTCCAATTATGTGTACAGTAGATCACTATAGGAAGCTTACACAGTATATGCGGTAATAAGTCAATAGCTTATGCTCATCAAAGTGTACGACAACCCAGAGCATTAAGTCAGCTACCACACAGCATTATTGCTAGAGACAACATGTCGAACAAGATGCTTCATGGTGCCACATACAGACCACTGAAATGTCTCTAAGATGCAAAATGAACATTTATGACCTCATGAAAGAGACCAGATGCTGCTGCTGATATTTGTTATCATTAATATCAAGAGTATTGGGGTTATTATTTTGGTGTCAAGGAAGATGGAAGACATTCTCTGTGGGAATGGGTCTATAAGTGATGCTTGATGTTATGTGGTTGCTCTGAAAAGTAGAAAAGACATATCAAGTGGTTAAGATTTTCTCTTTTTAAGAACACATTTTCATTAGAAGACATCTTCAATACAACACCACACTATTTGTCTTCATGGTAATTTCAGTGGCGGGCCTCTTTGGCTCGTAAGCAGGCAAACATGTCTCATACAAAGATGCATACAGCATTGATTATCTATCCAAGTAACACAACACCCGTTTTAAGTTACTCTTGAATATGATATGAGGCATTAATGTGGTATGCAGGATTTAATTATGAAAGGTAAATGAAGATTCTAAACTAGCTTGCGCGTCATTTGGATTAAATCCGTCGGTAATGATGTCATGAAGTCTAACAGTCTAAGCTCAGGATTCCTGGTGGGGAAAAAAAAACGTTTTCTTCAAAACTGCTTTATTCTTTTATCCCCTTCTCGCCCCTATAATAGTGCACACTGTCATGCTAATGGCTTACCAGCTGAGAGAGGAATGAAAACGCTTTTCACATTTGCATTTTTGGCTCAAAAAGAAAAAAAAAGTGTTCAGTTTCATTTTCATTTTCATCCCGCCAGTCTTACTTGATATTATAGTTATAATACACTCACCAGCTCAATGCTGCTTCACATGCAGCGTGTCACTGAACGCTTACTGTAATGTAAGGATGTAACTCCTATAAAATGCAACATCATTAATAAGGTGACAATTCAGTAGACAATCAACAGAACTTTGCAAAACAAAACAAAACAACTCAATAGATAATTCAGAAAAATATTAAGTAAAAGATACAGAGCTTAACAGTTATAAAATACAAAATTAAACAATCATAAAATAACACCTAGGATGTTCTTCAACCACCTTAAAGTTACCTCCTAATAATATTTAAATATACCGATATATTGCTTATTGAAGATATACTACTGAAACATAACAACAGCAACTTGTTGAACTTCAATTCAGTCTTACAGGAAAGCTCGTTCCAGAGACTGCAGTCACTGATGCTGAGATACGTCATGGCTCACGTATAGACAGTCTGTGACACAACTTAACACACACTGCAATTTGAATCCCAGTGAGTCTTTTAAAAGTAAAACAAAAAGGACACAACACTGGGGTAAAGAAATCTCTCTTTAGTTTCCAAACGTCATATCTGAGTCTCAGCTCCTCTGTCATAAGGCATTCATTACAAAAGGACTTAATGGAAAAATTAACCCTAATCAGCTTTAAGACATGTTAGCAGTAACATAAAAGCATTGTATACCTTGAAAAATATATAGTCTGTTTAAGTGTTACCCACTTTTTTCAAAGGTGCCATTTGCTCCTTGTTACACTAGAGGCCACCATGAGCTTGTGTTTTCATAACACACACACCTACTACACACACACACACACACACACTTCAACAGCTATCTGCTGAGCCTGCCATCCTGTCATTGACAGTACACAGTCTCTGTCCCAGTGTGATGTTTGACACCTCTATTTCGAGGATCTTGCAAACAGATCAGATCCTGCTTCAGTTAAAAGGAAAAAAAAAACAAAAAAAACTCCAGTCTTGTTCTGTTTTTTTTTTGTCCATTTTTTTTTCCTGAGGTGAAAAGAAACCCCATCACAGCATCTTCAAACACAAACTTGAAGTAGTAGTAGCCTTCTGGTTGTGCGTGTTGTTTAGTACACAAACCTCACCTGAGAGTGACACATGGTTGAATGAGTCAGAACTTATTATCACCTAAAGTGGCCAAAGCAGATTGATAGCAGCACATGTGCGCGTCAGAGTGTATCTTGTGGTAGGAAGAAAAATGTTAAATATTCTGGGTTTTTTTTCCCTTCGCCAAAACTGATCTGTCCTCTACTTAATACTGGTGTTTATAAAAGTCTTCCAAGACAAAGCTGTTCCTCTTTTACAGATGTTTGATTAACGAAAGATTAGATTGCAATCATTCTAGAGTCATTTGTATGTATACGACAATGCGATTGAGTGTATTTATATAAGTATAACATACCGAAAAAAAGTTGTAGAATAAGACTTTAAAGTCAATATTTAAATTTTCCTGAAATAACTTGAATTTATGGCTAGCTTGTTTACGGTGTGGATAGCAAGCTGATGCTATTGTTGCTACATTTACCTGCAATCTATACCTTGTACACGGATTATAATATGAGGTTGAGTGTCAAATACAATTTCCCCTCAAATCGGGTTTCCAGAAGTATTGCTTTTTGCTATTGGTGTCATATATCATATATATGATAAGCTGTTGCAGATATAACTGATTCTGTTTTGTGAAACAGTCAATCGGGGTTTAAACAAAACAACAGAATTATTTCTAAGTTAAAATTCCTTTTTGTCATGTGCACCTTCAACCAAATAAAGAGTTGTTATAAAATATAATACAAACGTGCGTGGGGATGTGCTTTCCTATAAATGATAAATCAAACAATAGTAACTGGTCTGTCTGATGTTGTTTGAACGAAATGGGAACTCACTTCATTTAAATAAGTTGTTTTTTTTCACATGGAGGACAAACAAAGACTTGCACGCCACTTCAGTTATTTGCAGCTGTGCCTCCCTCAGGAGCCACCACGCAAACATTTGGTCACATGGTTGATTTATGGTCGGCCTTGAAGGGTCACAGTTGGTTGGGCCACACAACAGGACTGGAAATAAAATGGCTGCTACTTTTCTTTCAAGCTCACCATCCCAACACATGTGAAAGGGGTTGCTTTGAAATAAGGCCCCACAGTATACTGAGAATGTGACACCAGTGTAAACAGATAGTTAATCCAACTTCATTTAAGACTGACTTAAAGTGACATTTACTGAGTTTTGTTTCAAAGTAATTTAAGGTTATATGAAAGTCCACATTTAAAAAAGTGTCCACTATAAGTGTAATATAATTTAAAAGCTAAAACCAGTCTCAGTTCAGTCAAGGTGCAGGAGAACAGTAAACAGCAGAAACAGTCCAACAGAGGATAATCAGTAATCAAGCTGGAGTCAGAGGCTCAGGTCACAGTTGTTGCTAATCTGCCTTTGTTTCAGCAGCAGGGGGCGCTGCAGTTGAACAAACCAGTCTGACGGTTTCTTCCTGGGGCTCTACTGGCCCCTCCCCTCCTCCTTCCTCCTCATCCTCCCTCTCCAGGCCCAGTGGAGGTTGTCTCTGTGCCACAGTGTGCCGGGAGCGAGCCCTGTGCCTTCGAGGGTGGAGGAAAAGTGCAGGGTCGGGCATGGCTGTGGGCTCTGCGGGGCCCATCACTTTCTCAATGGGGACACACTCCCGAGCACGCTCCACCCTCGAAGATGCCCTTGCACTCCTACGTTTGGGTTTGACCACAGGAGACGAAGGGGAGGCTCCTGACGGCATCAGCGGGGATGAAAAGGAGTTCTGCTCGGCACCATATTGG